TCCTTCCGAGGAGTGGCTGGTGGATTTGAACCGCCAGCCTTCTGGTTAGCAGTCAAGTGCCTTAGCCACTATGCTACCAGAGCTCCCGGCAAATATGTATTAGTCTGTTATTATAAAAAGCCAAGGAAAGGTTTATATATGGAAGTGGGAGGGGAGGGAACATTGTTAGATAGGTAGAGACAAGTATTGATTTGGGTGAAGAGAAGGGTAATGTACCCAATGTAAGTGACCAACATGGTGGCATTGAGTGAGAGGAAGACATAGAGAGGTACATGGAAGGTACAGACAACGAAGGTACAGACAACAAAGATGAACACAGGACTGTGTTGCCAGTGAAGGTAGACATGGCTGTTTCAGTGGGGGGGGGGGGCAGTGCCCAAGACCACGTGTAGGGTTGGCAGACAGTGTCTCTACAGGTGTATTAGTATGTTCTATAAGAATTCCCAGGTATGTAGTAGCGCTGACAAGGGACAAGGTTGTAGTCACTTCTTGGCCACAGCTAGCTACCCAGAGGGAGGGAGTAGTTGGACCTGTGGGCTTGGAACCATAGTCGCAGGGGACATCAAGCTCAATTGGCATAACATACTACACAAAACATTGTTCCACCTCCTACTTCGATGAGTAGTGACTGGGATCTAAAAAGCTTGCAAGTGGCCATTTAGATGCAACAACAGGTCACTCCTCATCCCCTGCAAAGAAGAATGAAGAAGACTAAAGATTCATGGAAAAAATTAGTCCAAGCAACTGTACACCATGCAATCCGCAGCCTATACAACTATGAGACCAGAAGAACTAGATGGTGCCCAGCTACCACTGTCAACCACTTGGAGGGGGATCTATGTAGGAGATTCTGAATAGCGAGGGAGAACAATGTGGAACAAAACTCAAAATCATTTGGAAAAAAGGGAGGAGCAGTTTTGCTAGTCAGCCTGGTAGAACCACTGAGACTATGGCCCCTAGCTGCCCTTCAGGTCTGGAATTGAACCCACTCGTGTGGCTTCCAGCCAAACAAAAGGTAGGCTTATGAGGTGAACATTAGATTAGGTAAATACACTCCTTGGAGGGAACAGTCATGGGAGAATAGAAAGGCTGTGTATGCCCAGGGAGAGAGCTCAGGGGGCAGTAGTGTATGGAGGGAAGGACACAGGGAAGAGGTAATTATGGGGAGGAAGTGGGAGAGGAGTTGTTACATTGTGGTAAATTGTAGTGAATATCATGAGACAAAGTGAAGAGATTTGTCTATTCACTGCTGTATAGGAAGTGAATTTGCTCTGTAAACTTTCACCCAAATCACAATTTAAAAAATTAAAAATACTTTTTTTTGTCTGAGAGAGATTTATTACCTTTTAATTTATACTTTGCTTCAGTTCTGAATGTAATTAAATCAGTGTATCACTGGCAACAAAATTTTTAATGATTAATTACTTTCTTTTATTTGTTAGGAGTATGCAAAGTTCCCCAGGGTTTGCTGCCAATCAGAGAGGTTTGTATTCAACTTTAAACTCATGATTACTCTCATTGACTATTTATTGACAATACATGTGTCCTAGGTATATATATTTTTAAAGTTCTGTTTTTCCTAAGTAAACACACTACCATACTAAAAAAACAAAACCAAGCTCACTGCCATCAAGTCGACTCGACTCATAATGACCCTCCTTGGGTTTCCAAGGTGGTATCTCTATGAAAGTAGATTGTGCAGTCTTCCTTGTGAGGACTGGCTGGTGGGTTTGAACAGCCATCCTTCTCGTTAGCAGTCAAATGCCTTAGGCACTATGCCACCAGAGTGCCCATTATCATGTTGCTGTTGTGTGCCGTCAAGTCGGACCTGACTCATAGCGACCCCTCCTTGGGTTTCCAAGGCAGTATCACTATGGAAGTAGATTGCCCCATCTTCCTTCCGAGGAGTGGCTGGTGGGTTTGAACCGCCAGCCTTCTGGTTAGCAGTCATATTAGGAAATAGTATTTTTATTTATCATAAAAATAGACACTTGAAATAGTCCTTACATTCCCTATTGGCTCTCGTATAGTCTTTTAATTCTCATCCTCTAAGTTTCTTAATTTTAGGGATGTAATCAGTATGAAAAGAAGCCCTGGTGGTGTAATGGTTAAAGCACTCGGCTGCCAGTTCAAAGGTTGGCAGTTTGAACCCACCAGCCACTCCTCTGGAGAAAGATGAGGCAGTCTGCTTCTGTAAAGATTTACAGCCTTGGAAACTCTCTGGGCAGTTCTCCTCTGCCCTATAGGGTTGCTGTGTGTTAGAGTCAACTCCATGGCAATGGGTTTGGTTTTTGGGGATCAGTATGAAGTACTATAGAATTGTAACCTTGGACTTAAGTTTGGGTATACTCATTTCATTTCTTACAAAATTGTTACATTTAATAATTTTTTTAAAAGGGACTTTTTTATCCATCTGTTGGTTTATTAGGTTAAATAGTGGGACATACATCATGTACATTTCTTAAAATTCCTAAATTACTCTGACATTAACTTAATGTTTAAATGCTCATGTGTTTTAGCCAGAACAAGAAGTGGAATTGCAGAAATCAAACGGCAAAGAAGGCTTGCATCTCACACAGCTCCCGTCAGTTCAGAGTTGCTGGCTTTACCATATAATTCAGGACAGTTTACTACTTCTCCTTTGACAGCTACACAAGTTGTTCGACCAGCTGGCCAAATTTCAACTCCGTTAAGGTCGAGTTTTGTAGTGGTTAACCATTCTCAGTCACAAGACGCTGTAACTAGTAAGTTTAAATTTTCCTCTCCATCTGTTGACATTGGTCTAAGATCTTTAACTTGTGCTTTCAGATTTGATGATTAGGCCAACTTAAATATCTGTTGCAGAAATTAAGGAGACTGCTTTGTATTTCTCACATACATATAATGTATTCTTCTAATACTTATTTTGACTTTTTTTTTTTAAATCCTTGTGTACATGCTCTCTTTTTCAGTACAAATGAGACTTGTGAAGGTAAAACAGTATGAGTGAGCATTGGGGTAGTATCAGTAATTTCTTACACATTTTACGTTCTTGTGTTATTATTTATTGACACTATATTGTAAAATCTTAGGTTTGTGGACTATACTGTATTCATCTTAATATCTTTTATAATGTATTTACATAGTAGTCACACAGTAAATATTAACTGAATTTAATTTTGAGTGAAAAACTCCTATTTTATGCTACTTTTACAAATAATTCAGGTTTACAAAATTACTCAATTTCCTCAACTTGGGATTTTTTTGTTTTGTTTTGTTTTCTTAAAATACAGCCGGGGAAGCTTTAAATATAATTCCTGCTTCTCAGGAACGGAAAACTCATGCCAGTTTAATGTCTCCTGGTCGACGTAAAAGGTAAATGTTTTTTGAGAGACATTGTAAACTCAGGGGTACAGAAAACAAAGATAAACCCTCGTACGTATACAATTCTGCATTATTAATGATAACAAATGTTAATCTATGGGTAAATAGATGGGTAGACAAGCTGAATGATCAGGTATGTCTAGGCAAAAGGGAATACACCCATGACCATATATAAGGTTGGCAGACTATACTTCTACATGCATATATGTATATGCTGTAAGAACGGCCATGTAACTGGAACTAATGGGACAAAGTTACGATAACTTCTTAGGCAAAGTCAGCCATCCTGGTCGAGAGAGTTGTTGGATCTGTGGTCTCGGGACCATGGTTGCAGGGGACATCAAGCTCAATTGACATAACATACCACACAAAAACATTGTTGTACATCCTACTTTGGTAAGTAGCCACTGGGGTCTTAAAAGTTTGTAAGCAGCCAACTGGATATAATAATGGGTCTCTTCTCATCCAGAGCAAAGAAGAATGAAGAAAACCAATGAAACAGAAACAGTCAGTCCAGGGGACTAGTGGACCATGTGAAATCTCAGCCTATATGACCATGAGACCAGAACTAGACTGTGCCTGACTACCACTGTCAGCCATTTAGAAAGGGATCACTATAGGGGATCATGGATAGAGTGGTAGAGCAATGTGGAACAAAGCTCAAAATCATTTAAAAAGGAGAAAAAAAAATAGGTTTACTGCTCTGATAGAGTCTGGTGAGACCCCCGAGACTGTGGACACTAGTTACCCTTCAGGTCTAGAATTGAACTCACTCTGTGGCTTCCAGCCAAACAATAAACAGGCATATAGGGTTAACGTTTATATCGGGTAGATACACTCTTTAGAACAATCAATCATGAGTGTTCAGAAGTGTAGAGTTTGCACAGAGGGATAGGTCAGGGGGCAGGAATGCATAAGAAAGGACACAGGAAAGAGGTGGAAATGGGAAGAGAGCTGCTACATGGTGGAGAATTGCCATCATTGTCATGAAACAAAATGTTTATGAACTGCTCTATGGAAAATGAGTTTGTAAACTTTCACCCAAATCCCAATAGAAATTTAAAAAAACAAAAAACATTGTAACCTGAATTTTAAAAAATGAGAAATATGCCAGATACTTGCACTGTGACTAAAACAGTAAGACTGGGTTAAGTTCTTGAGACTATTTGCTATTGTATTGTAAAACACATTTTTCACATTTTATCCTCCTTGCAATAAACCATAAAAATATCTAACATTTGCTGCACACTTTGCTTTTGTATATATACTTTTTCATTTCTTCTGCTCACCCAATAATGCAGTTGTTTTTACCCCATTTTAAAATGATCAGAATAAGAGCTTCTCTTACATTAAGTCTCGTAGCTGTTGTTGTTGTTGTTATGTGCCCTCGAGTCGGACCCAACTCATAGCGACCCCTCCTTGGGTTTCCGAGGCAGTATCACCATGGAAGTAGTGCCCCATTTTCCTTCCGAGGAGTGGCTGGAGGGTTTGAACCTCCAGCCTTCTGGTTAGCACTCAAGTACCTTAGGCACTACACTACCAGAGCTCCTACTCTTATAGCTAGTAAGTGCTAAAGCTAGACTTCAAATTCTTCTGAATCCTAGTCTAGACTTTTCCTACTCTGTTACCTTTTATTACTGCCATAAATTGAGAAACTATCTATTTACCATGATGACTTTAAAATGTATATACTCATATATGTCTTCATTTAATCTTTTAAACATACTAGTTAAAAGATAAGCTTTTAAATGTGTTTCAGTGAATCTCAAAAGAAAAGTCTCACTTTGTCTGGTCCTCATTCAACTATATGGAATTTTCAGGATCCAAATGCATTTGCAGTAGAAAAAGTAAGTAACATCCTAAAACTTTGTAACTTGAAATATATCTAAGTTACAAAACTACTGGTACACATAATGTGTGTATCATACAGTATTTCTGCAAGACTTTGCAGTGGAATAGCATTGGAATAGAGAATAGGGATGTGTAACTGAAGGAGATAGTCCAGTCAAAAGAGAAAGCATGTACAAATGCACCAATAAAAACCAGTGCTATGTTTGGGAAACTATTAATACTTTGTTGTTGCTAGATTGTGCAGTATAATAGAGCGTTTAACTGGGGCCACATTATTTTAAATCTCGTAAGAAATATCCTGAAGAGTCCCTAGGTGGAGCAAGAAGGTACACACTTGACTATTAGTGAAAGATTGTTCAAAACCTCCCCCAGGGCACCTAAGCAGACAGCCCTGCTAGTCTGCTTTTGAAAGTCACATTCTTGGAAACTCTGTGGAGCACAATTCTACTCTGAACACACGGGGTAACCTTGAGTCAGAATCAGCACAGGAGCAACTAACAAGAGCATAATATGCTAAAGAGTTTAAGCTGTATTCTGTAAATAATGAAGAGTTGGTGAGGAATCTGTGAAAATACTTGTAAGTTATAAATTTCAGCATTCAGTGTTTAGATAGAGGGAACCACCACAGCTTTTAAATTTCTACCTAGTTTTATTAAAATTACCCAGTTTCCATTAATTAGTTCTTTTTAAATAAACAATACTCTTTACTACTATTTTGCTAATACTAACTTTCTTTTACAGCAAATGGTTATTGAAAATGCACGAGAAAAAATATTAAGCAATAAATCTCTTCAAGAAAAGCTGGCAGAAAACATTAATAAATTTTTAACTAGGTAAGCTACGTTTAAACTGCCTGATTAGTTTTGTGTTACTAAAGTACACTGCTAAAGATTTTCCTTTGTGTGTTACAGTGACAACAATATTATTCAAATACCTAAGCAAACAGATAGCAATCCTACTGAGCCAGAGGCTTCAATTGATGAACTCCTGGGACTTCAGGTATGGGTAGGGTGTTTGTGTGTGTGTGTGTGTGTGTGTTTAAAATACATATAGTTAAAACTGATAGTATTTTAGTTTCATTTTAAAATGATTACCAACAGATTAAATGTCTAAAATGATTTAAAATACTCATTTAAGTCATTTAAGATAGCAGTTTCTTTCCTTCATTTTCATATGTAATTTGTTCCTGAGAAAAGCTTGTTGAATAATGAATTTTCATATAAAATCTATCCTGTATTATTTAATTGGGAAAAGTAGTAAGATATTCCTATCCCATCTAATAACTAAACTTTTCCAGATATTAGTAAAACACTCTTCTATACCCATACAACATCACAACATGGATTTTTAAGTTTTCAAAATTTACGCAATTCATTAATGAGTATATTTTTGTACAGTAAGCAACAATACAGTATAGATGCAAATCACAGTTATTCTACACTGCTACAAACTTTATAGTAATGTAAAGATAAAATGAAATAATATGTCATAGATACATAACAAATTCAAACAATACTTTTACCAAATAAAACAAACAAGGTACTTGAAGAAGGAAAGGTTAGTAACTGAATGAAGAATTGTCTATGTGAGATTTGCTGCTAACCAAATAAACATAGGAGTTGTAGTCACTGTTGCTTATATATGGTGGTAAAGGTGAAAGAGAATAAGCTGGTAATGGAGGAAATTTAAGTGTGTGTTTTGAGATTTGTCTGTGAGCAAATACTTTTTCTAAAGCAGCCAAGATTGTGACTAGCACACTTAACTCACTGCCATCGAGTCAATTCCAACTCATAGTAACCCCCATTGGGTGTCCGAGGCTGTAAATCTTTACAGAATTGTTGTTGTTGTTGTTATGTGCCCTTGAGTCAGACCCTACTCATAGTGACCCCTCCTTGGGTTACTGAGGCGGTATCACTATGGAAGTAGGTTGCCTATTCTTCCTTCTGAAGAATGGCTGGTGGGTTTGAACTGCCAGCTTTCTGGTTAGCGGTCAAGTGCCTTATTCAGTATACCACCAGAACTCCTGACTAGCATACTATATATATCCTTTTATTTAGACCCTTTGGACAGTGTAAACATTTTGTTTTTTGTTTTTTGTTTTTGTCATGCCCACATGAATTTTTCATACCAAGTTTTCTTTTAGATAATGAAATTTGGGTAAAACCACTGAATTTTCTTTTCGTTATTTTAATTCCTTCAGAATCCTTTTTTATTTTATTATTTAACTATTTAATGCATTTTCTCATAGAATAATACATAGATAGCTAAAATTGAAAATTTTAAATCTCCAGGTATTAAAAGAATATATAAGTACCCCTAGCCATAGTGTACTAAAACTGCTTTGAAATTTTAAATTTTAGCTGAAAAAAATCATACAAATTTTGTTTTTCATTCTGTAATAAGTGTTCATTTTTTGTTTTCTTAAGAAAAATCATCCCTTAAATCCTTAAGTAAGATTAATATAAACTTAAAGCAGCAAGAATTCATTAAAAAGAAAGATACCATGCTTATCCATTGACTTTGCATACCCTCTGTCATACTGCTATTAACTGTCACTCAGAATCAAACATTCTGTAGTTTGAGAAGTATCAATCTAATCTATTCACAGTGACTTTAAAAGGAAACAAGTTATTGTTTTTCCCAAAACAGCTTAGAAATGGGAGAGATTTCCAGCAACTCTCCTGACTGCTCATGAGGAGGGGACACTGTACCCCATCATTGCCCACCAGCAAGTTCTTCAGGAGTAAATCCTGTCCTCAAACTAGCAATTCAGAAAAGAAGTTCACATGTCCAGTAAACATGGCAATTACACTCAACTCAGTAATCAAAGGAATACAAATTAAAAGAAGAGGTGACCTTTTTTAAAGACTACATTGATGAGAATGTGTACATTCTTATTCAGAATGGAATAGGCATTCTCATACCAGATTCTCTCTAGAAGATTGTTTGGCAGTAATTATCAACATTTTAAATATATATCCTTAGACCTGGTGAGTTTGCTGTTAAGAATTTATTCTTAGAAATGAATGGTTGCTGGAATAAAGATTTTCATTTTAGAATTATTTGCCGTAACTAAAAACTAGGAAAAATTCAAATGTCCAACTGTGGTAATTAGCTAATTTATGGCACCTGCAAAAAAAGACATGTTTGATAAAAGTTTCTTCCTTTTAGAAAGAGAGTGGTTTAAACATTTAGCTTTCTACTCTTCCACTAAACAGATGGAATTTTTGAAAATGCAAGCCTACCAGGACAAAGAAGAAAAGAGAACAGAACAGTAACAAAAGCTTGGAAGCCAAAATGGACAAGTAGTTAATGACTTCACATACCCAGTGCTCTAAGCCACTAACACAAAGTTCAGCATTTTATGACAGAAATCCCAAAATGGCTCAGGAAGTAGTACTGGTATTTCTAAAAGGAAATATAAACATGGAGCTACAAACATTTAGGAAGTATTTAAACTCTGTATCCTCTCCCCTTCTTACTCTCTTCCCAAGAAACATTGTTGTCACTCATGAAGTCTCCCAGCTGAAAATCCAACTAGCTCAAAAGAAAAGAACTAATAATGTACGTGGTTCTGCAGTATTGTTCTACGCCCTTGATTGTAGTTGCCAAGTTTCCCACATTGACATAGAGCTTTCAGGTAGCTTTTGGAAAGCCGCTTTTAAATATGAACAGACCAGCAGTATTGTCAAACAATTGAAGAAAGCGTTTAATATGAAAGAAACTAAAACACAAAACGGATGAGAGAGATTTCTATTGAAAGACTTGGGGTATGAAGAAAGCAGACATTACAGTATGATTTTATTTGTTACTATGTATACATAAGATAGTCTCTATATTCATTTTGCTTTAATATTTGGTAATATGTTCACCAAAGTGATTAACTAAATCTAGTAAGTTGAATTAAGGGGCATTCATCTTATACTGTCATAGTTTTATTACTTGAATTTCTTTTATGTGAGCATATTGTAGAGTTAAAATTAGCAGGGGACAATTCTTAGAAAGGACACTGCCTAAAAGTTAACATCAAATGTCCCCTCATTATTTTGCTGGTATTAAACCATCTTTATTCAGTTTAAGATCATGCCTTCAGCTCACTTTTTTTTTTTTGCAGAGTGAAATCCACATGTCTGAAGAAGCCATACAAGATATATTAGAACAGACAGAATCAGACCCAGCGTTTCAGGCACTCTTTGATCTCTTTGACTATGGTAAGTAAAACATTTCTTTCAAGGAAGATAGAAGAAAAGTTTCCTCAAATTCTTGGTACTTAACCGGAGAGACAAGAGTTCTTGTGGTGTAGTGCCTAAGGCATTAAGTGCTAACTAGAAGGTTGGTGGTTCAAAGCCACCAGCCACTCCATGGAAGGAAGAGGGGACAACTTACTTCAATAAAGATTTACTGCCTCAGAAACCCCTTGGAGTCGCTATGAGCCAGAATTGACTTGATAGCAGTGAATTTGGTTTTGATTTTTTTTTTAACCCAAAAAAAAAATTTTAAGCAACATTCCCCAGAGCCTCTGAAAATTGCTATTTTCGTTATAGCAAACATATGGATGTATATGAAAGGGTGTTGGTTTGGTTTGGAGTTGATTTGATTTGTTGGTACTTAAGGAAACTTCAGCTATAAATACAGAAAATGGTTTTGTTTTTTGTTTTTGTGAGTGTGTTCTCAGTCAACAAGAATGTATGAAGGCCTACTGCGTGTACAATGTACTTAATACTGCTAATACAAAAGGAATACAAAACCTGGTTATTGCCCTCAATCTTCTGGTCTAGTGCATTAGTTACCAAAGTGCAGTCCCTGCACCAGCAATATCAGTATTACCTGGGAACTTGTTAAAATGCAAATTCTTGGGCTGTGCAGCTGATTCTGATAAGTGTTAAAGCTTAAGAACTACTGGTCTGATGGAAAAATTTTGTACTTACAAATGACACACAGCATGTTAAAAACATCCAGAAGACTATACCTAAAACCAAAGTTTAACATTGACTTGACCACTGTCAAGTAGTATTGATGCATATTTTTATTTTCATTATTTAATCAGTTATTCCCTTTTTAACAGGTAAAATAAAGAGTAATAAAAATATACCACATGGCATTTCCAGTCAGCACATGGAAACTAATCCCAGTGTAATCTTAACAGATGAAACTAATCTAGCAGTTAAAAGCCCTTTTGAAACACAGGCATCTGGTAAGGATTTAATTTTGTTAATATCCTCAATCTGTATCTTGATATTTTTCTTAAAATTTCAAAGGTGGAAAATATTATTTACATTTAATTTGAAGGTTGTTCAAATTACTACATAGGTCATTTTTTCTATTTCTAGTTTACTAAAAAATTTGCCTTTTAATGTTTTTTTTAAAAGGTGTAATTGTGTTACTCATTCTGTCTTGATGTATAGATTTTTGACATGAATAATATGATACTAATAGTGTAAACCAGTTGGACAAAAGTCTGTAATACTTGACATAACTTTATTTAGGCACAAATTTGAATCCCTCATTTGTACGGTTGGTATGCGGGTATCAGTCATTCAGCCTAGTAAGTGTCTTCTTGGTATCTGTATGTCACCTGTCTAAGAGAAATTATGTACTATAGTGGTGGTCTGGGATTTGAAGATTTATGAGGTTTTAAGTCATTTCTTCTATGTGTACTAAAGTTTTTTGGTCTTCGTTTTTCATTTCTGCCTTCCATGAAATGCCATTGTAGCACATAATTGTTAGGTGCCGTTGAGTCTGTTCCGACTCATAGAGACCCAATGTGACAGAGTAGAACTGTCCCATGAAATTTCCTAGGCACATGCTAAATGCTTAACTAAATGAGGGAAGACAGTGAATAAGTCCATCTGAACTCTTTAAGAGTATGGCACAGTTAAATGCTCAACTACTAGCTGAAAGGTTGTCAGTTCGAATCTACCCAAAGGCACTTTGGCAGACAGGTCTAGAGATGTACTTAGGAAAATTCACTGCCTTGAAAACCCTAGGGAGCACAGTTCTGATACATACTTGCCATGAATCTGAATCTACTCAATAGCAACTAAAAAACAGCACTCTTAAAATATTTGCCAAATTTTTTAAAAAACTTGTTTTTCTTGTGAAACATAATATACATGCACAGAAATGCACAATACATGTGTGTCCAGCTCATTGAATTGCCATGAAGCAAATATCCATGTAACTACCTCCCAAGTCAAAAGACAGAACACTGCCAGACTACAAATCCCCTGTTCACATCCATTTCAATCACTACTCCCTCAAACCCCACTCCTCAAAGGTGACTGTTATCCTACCTTCTCAGGTTTTTGCAAAACTTTTTTGCCTTTTCATTACCACCTCTATGCTGTCTACAGCAATCTCTACCAAAATTATCTTTTCTACTCACATGTTCTTTTCTGCTCACCTATTTTTTAAAAGTCATCACGTCCTACTCCTAAAAATCTACTGGCTTCAAATTTCAAATTTTATTTTCTAAAAATTAGTTTTCTGATACCTCAGGCTACACTGCCCTTTGGAGTCTTCTGCCTATACCAAGCCCAGTCCTCCATTTTCTCTTACACTGAATTATAGTCAGGTGTGTCTTTCTCGGGAGCCCTAGTAGTGCAGTGGTTATTCACACAGCTGCTAACTAAAAAGTTGGCAGTTCAAACCCACAAACTGCTCCGTGGGAGAGAGGTGTGGCAGGCAGCTTCTGTAAAGATTTACAGCCTTGGAAACCCTATAGGGTAGTTCTCCTCCGTCCTGTAAGTCACTATAAGTTAGAATTAATTTGATGGCAATGAATTTGGTGTCTTTCTCACTATATATTATATCTGGAATATAATGTTGTGTTTTAGTTAAGCTCTTACACTATACAAAATGAAACTTGAAATCTTTCTTCTAAAAAAAAGTCTTCCCACTTCACTAAGAAAATGACTGCTTCCTCTGATTTTCTGTAACCGAGACATAATTTCCAGTATTCTTTCCATTAAGGATTCAGTGTGCTCTGCACCAGATAACCACTTTACCAGTGTCATAGTAACAGCACTGTATGACAGTTAACATATTTTTCTGTTTTGTTTTTCTCTTGTATTTTTCATTTGGTTTATGTTAATATTTTCTGTCTTAAACTGAATGCTTTAAAGCACAGTATAGCGTTGCTAGAGTGGTGTTTTTAAAATCCCCTTTCTTCTCATGCCATCCATCATACTTCTATATATTTTTCAAGATCATTTATGCTTTTATAATGCTTTTCCAGTCTCCTGGTAGAAAGAATTGCTTTTATTCCTATTACAGTTGTTACAGTGCTTTATTTGTAACTTTCTAATCTGTATCTGCCTCCCTGACTAGACTGATCTCTCCAAGGGCAGGAACTAGGTCATTCATCTTTCTACCTCAATACCAAACATAGAGTTTGTCCTTAGGAAATGTTTATTGAATGTTAAAAAGTACACAATGAGATCAAATGTTGATCATGAAAAATATTCTTTGTGCCATTTCACCTGTAACTGCAAGAGTATAGCAGATAAAATAAAGTCAATAGAAATAGTAGAAGTTGGAAAGTCAGCTGTTCCTGAAAAAGAAAAGAAAAATAGATGTTTGGAGCCAAGTTTTAGGGTTGGTTGGTTGGTTGGTTTTGAAACATATTGGTAAATATTAGTTGTTCTTTAACTTGTGTACTGTTCCTTCATTATATCATCTGTTGTCTAAGAAATTTGGCAGTTTGGCACTAGTATAAAAAGGGATCAATTATTAGAGAACTACTTCTAAATTTCTCAATATTCAGAAAATGGGGGATAGAGTTTGTCAGACTTTACTTTCTGGTATGTCAAAGATTAGTTACTTCCTTGGTAAAATAAGTTTTACAGTAAAGATGACTACCTCAGAACTTGAACATATCCACCATATCTTTCTATCATCGTGATATTTTACAGATGATCAGCCCCCGTTTTGTACAGCCTATCAAAATGAAGAAGCATCAAATACTTTGAAGGATGGCAGCAACCATGATGAGCTTAGACAGGAAGCCCAGGAACATTTTTCCCAAATAGGCTCTAGCATCCAAAAAAAGGCCTTTAAAACAGCTGTACCTGTTGAACAAAAATGTAACCTTGATATTACCTTTGAGTCTGTGCCTAATTTAAATGACTTTAACCAAAGAGGAAATTCTGATGCTGTGTGTAATCAGCAGTGTGCTGAATTATACACCAGTCAGATGTCCACTGAAACTGAAATAGCTATGGAAGTTGAAAAGAATTCGTTGTCTCCAAGTGTTCCAAGTGAGTCTCAGTTACAGCCTGATCAGTCTGATATACCAATAACTTCATTTATTTCACTTGGTGATGAAACTAACAGTGAAAACTTACTTCTCTCTGGAAAAAGTTCCCAACCTATGTCCCAAAATACTTCAGTGACTGGAAAACCATCTGGAAAAAGTCAATTTTGTGAAAGTTCTAATGATACATTAAGACTTAAGACTAATTTTCATAATTCCAAGTCACCAGATTCTAATGAAATTCACCAGAATAAAATTGAAATTAATAACATATTACCAGTAACATCACAACAACTTTCCGATTGCCAAGATAATTCTTCACTCCAAAGTAAAATATTACCTATTTCTGTTGAAAATTCAGGTTTAAATGTATCTGGTCAACAAGTAGACATTTGTCTTAGAGATTCCATAGCTGAAGTTAAACAACTATCTGATGAGTCAGTGTCTGTTGAGTTAAAGCATACGGAAAATGAAACTCGGCCATCAAAGTCTGAGAAAGCTGCTTTGGATTCACAAGAGTCTTCTTCTTCTATAAAAGAAGATGGAGATACTATTTTTCTCTCTCTGAGTGAAAATAATAACTGTGTGGAAGTGGCTTTGATGCCTCCAGAGGTCAGTCCTATAGAAGACAGTCACTCTCTTCCTTCAGAATCTGTGTGTTCTTCAATGGGAGATTCCAACTCTGAGTCTCAAAATACTGGTGATAAACCTTCTAGGGACAGCTCAGCAGAGGTAGATACATCAAATATTGTCTCCCTCAAAATTATCATCAGTGATGATTCATTTGTTTCCTCCGATACTGAACTTAACAGTGCTGTTTCTAGTATTAGTGGCGAGAACTTACCAACTATAATTTTGTCTTCTGCTAAATCATCTACCAAAAATGCAGAATTAGTTAAAGGCCTATCTTCTGAAGAAACTGCAGGTGCTGTTGTATCTGCTGAAGGAATTGGAAATTCAGCCACAGTAGAACAGAGTCTTTTAGCCCTCAAACCTGAAGATGCTACAATAAATAACACTCAGAATGAAGATAGCATTTCTACTTCAGCAAATGTTACACCTTGTGTTTCCAAGGATGGAGGATACATACAGTTGATGCCAGCTACAAGCACAACTTTTGGCAATTCAAATAACATTCTAATTGCTACCTGTGTGACTGATCCAGCAGTCTTGGGAACACCTGCAAGTCAGTCTAATGTTGTGGTGTTGCCTGGAAATTCTACAGCTATTACTGCTCAACCTCCAGCACCTCAGTTACAGACACCTCCAAGGTCAAACAGTGTGTTTGCTGTCAACCAGGCTGTATCACCAAACTTTTCACAAGGTAACTTTAAGAACATGGTGACTTTCGCTACTCTAGAATGGGATCTAATTTCTCTTATATGTAGAATTATTAATTGGGAAGTAATAAATCATGGATAGATAATGTGAGAAAAAAATATTCTGAAATTTGTGATTAGACATCCTCTTTACTCTGACTGATTAATTCCATCATACCTGTTTTTTAATCATCTGGTAAGCTGTGAATTTCTTGAGTATTTTACTCTCTTTCCTCAGTTACTTCCCAGTTCATATGCTAATAAGCTACCAAAAGAGAAAAGAAAACAAAGACTAACTCATCAAGTAGCTGTGTTGCTACTAAAGTCAATGTTGTTAATGACATGAGACAAAGTATATGTGAACTGCTGTATGAAAAGTGAATTTACTCTGTAAATCTTCATCCAAATCCTAATTTAAAAAAAAAAATAACAAAGTCAATGTTGTTGATTTTTTAAAAAATAACTGTTATAATCTCAATTTTCAAGGAATTAATTATCTATTTGGAGAGACATTATAAGATATAACCTGAGTATTTCTCCATAAAGCCCTTTCTAATTTATCCCTGCCTTCCATAATCAATCCATCTTTAGAACCTTGTGTTCATAGAGGCTCTTGTAGCATTTATTACATGTAGTTATATGTATAGTTGGTGATTGATAAATCTGTCATTTTGGTCATTCTTTATTGTAAGTTCCTCAAGGACAGAATTTATGACACATCATCATCATTTTCTGACTGTTTAAGATAAAGAAGTCAGAATTGGTAGAGAATGTGGGACTTGAGCTGAAGCTTAGAGAAGTAAAGTAGAATTTGGAGTAAAAAGGAAGCAACCCAAGCATAGGTGATGAATTTGAGAGACCAAACTAGGTGTGTATGAAAGTGAGATCAACCTGGCGGCAGCAGTTAGGGAAAAGGCTCATTTATTAAAAGGTCAGAACTAAATCACATTGTTGATTCTAAGGGCCACATAGACATGGTGATTTTCCCCTCATAGTTTTGATTGTTGTATACTTACCTCGTCCCTTTTTGACCAATACATTGAAATAATAGGGGGTTATGAGCATAAGGGAGGTAGAAAGTTTTAAGTGACATGAAAGAAATAGATGGCATGGAAAGAGGGTAAGTGCTCTTTCAGACTTTGACTGATTTGTTAGATACGTACCTTTGATACCTGGTCTCACAATCATTGCTGGCTGTGCTGTACTGTAAAGGGCCTGCTGCCTTGCTGCTGGCTAGTCATCACACGTACGTGGAAGATCTTGAGCTGTGTACCTTCAGTTGGGATCTAAATTTTAAAGTGTAAGATTCAGACTCACAGCCTTCAGTACAAATTTTCTAATCATTTCCAATATTGTTTTCAATATAATATATACTTATAATATGATTTTCTGGCTGGAGAATCTTAGGCTTCCTCATGATGTTTACCATGGCTAAATGCCATAATAAGACCACTTTATCTTCACATTGACTGTGTTAATTTGTTAGCCTTCATGCTGTTTTGAAATCAGTTTTTAAAAAAGGAAAATTAATCTATTATCTTAAAAGGAAGAGGGATTATAATTTTATAGAATTTATTTCAAAGTAGTCATTTTGGTGTTTTATGCTTACGAGGGTAAACCTTATTTTATTGAGAATTGTTTTTTTAGGATCTGCTATCATAATTGCTTCTCCAGTCCAGCCAGTGCTTCAAGGAATGGTGGGAATGATCCCTGTATCTGTAGTTGGACAGAGTGGAAGTACCTTTTCTGCTCCTCCTCGTCAGGTAAGATTTATAACTGAAAACAGAACAGTGAAGCTTTTCAAACAGTGTAATTAATGGCTTTATCTCTTCTAGGTCCTTCACATGCCTTTGGCAGCACCTGTATGCAACAGAAGTATCCCTCAATTCCCCGTCCCTCCAAAATCCCAGAAAGCTCAGGGACTAAGAAACAAGCCTTGTTCAGGTACATTTTTAAGTTGGTTAATGTCAACTTCATATCTTTATATTTATTTATTTGTAGGAATACCTGAATATTTTCTATTTGAGTACCTACATCTTTCCGAATAGTTGTCTTCCAACCTTTGCTTAAAGGCAGCCAGCTCTACAACTAGACAGCTCTGTGAGAAAGTTGTTTTCTTTGTTGAATCCTTTACCTTCTTGTCCTCTAGTCCTACACTTGTCCTTTGGCTTGACCTAAGATTAGTATGAGCCGTATTTTTCCTGACAGTTTCAAAGTATTTAGTAAATACCTTATGTATTTCTATGATGGTTTATAGCAGTACTTCTCAAATTTTAATGTGTTTATGAATTACCTCAGCATCTTGTTAAAATGTAGATAATGAATTAATGGCGTTGAAACAGGGCCTGGGATTTTGCATTTCCAACAAGCTTCCACTTAATGCCAGTGCTACTGATAACCATTTTTCACAATAGCAAACAGATGGAAACAACCTAAGTGCCCATCAGCAGGTGACTGGATAAACAAGATGGTACGCACAATGGAATATTGCACAAGATTAAAGAGTAACAGTGAATCTGCAAAACACCTCATAGCATGGATGAACCTACAGGACATTCTGCTGAGTAAAATTACTCAATCATAAAAGTACAAATACTGTATAAGACCACTACTGTAAAAAGTCAAGAGAAGTTTATATACAGAAAGAAGCATTGCTGACAGTTACCAGGGGTAGAAGGCAAAAGGAGGATAAATCACTAAGTAGAGGGTTGTTGTTGTTGTTGTTATGTTATGTGTACCATCTTGGTGTTATGTGCCATCGAGTCGGACCCAACTCATAGAAACCCCTCCTTGGGTTTCCGAGGCAATATCACTATGGAAGTAGATTGCCCAACCTTCCTTCTGAGGAGTGGCTGGTAGGTTTGAACTGCCAGCCTTCTAGGTAGCAGTCAAATGCCTTAGGCACTTTGCTACCAGAGCTCCTAAGTAGAGGGTAGACATGTATTAATTAACTTGAGTGGTAGTCTTATATCTATTAAAGAGCTGCTTTGTTCTCTTTTTTTATTGTGATGAAAATACGCATAAAAAAAACACACCATCCCAACAGTTTCTACATGTACAGTTCAGTGACACTGATTATATTCCTCAAGTTGTACAGCTATTCTCACTATACTTTTCCAAATCATTCCACCACTGTTAAACTCAGTGCCCCCTTAGCAGAAACTTCCCCTTCCCTCCCTTCCTTCCACCCTTTTGTAACCACTAATAATCTTTGGTTTTTATATTTGCTGCAGGATTTTTTCCTTTGCAACTGACTGACTTCTCTCAGTATGATAGTTACAAGGTTCATCCATGTAGTGACATGCATCAGGACTTCCTTTCTCTTTTGATGGCTGGATACTATTCCATTATATGTATCCACCACATTTTGTTTATCTGTTCATCAGTTGATGAACATTTAGATGGTTTCCATGTTTTGGCTGTTGTGAAAAGTGCTGTAGTGAACATTGGTATACATATTTTGGTTTGTATTCCAGCCTTCATTTCTTCTGGGTATATACCTAGGATTGGGATTGCTGGCTCGTATGGTAGGTGAATGTTCAAATTTTTGAGGAACTGCCAAACTAATTTCCACAGTGGCTGTACCATTTTACGTTCTCACAAGCAGTGGTTGACAATTCCAGTTTCTCCACATGGAGTGAACAGCTAGCTCTTTTCCCTTCTATTAATCATTGCCATTTACTAGTAGGAAGGAAATGGTATGTGTTCTGGTTACCTAGTGCCACTCTGACAAGAATATACCACAAATGGGATGGCCTTAACAAGCAGGAGTTTATTCTTAAAATTTGGAGGCTTTAAGTCCAAGTTCAAAGCACCAGGCTCTAGGGGCTGGGTGAAAGCCCCTCAACCTTGGGGTCCAGCTCTGCCTCTTGCTCCCACCCCACTGGAGCTAGAGGTGTTTCTTCACTCAGACAGCTGCTGGCTCCTGAGGCTGACAAACCCAAGGTTGACAAGTAAAAAGGCACAGTCCTGATGTTATCAAAACCACACAGCAGGCCAGTAATTCAAGTCCATTGCAAGTCCCAAGGTCGGCAGAGCACAGCAGGCTGCTGAGCAATGACACGGCTACATGCAGAGTCCTAGCATGCCATAAGCTAGAGACCATTCCCAATGCTGCTTCTTATATACAGGAAGCAGACCACATACCCAAAGCAGCTATACAGCTGCCTGTAGTAGATCCCCCCATGGAGTTGATTGCTAGTCTCATCATGTGGAATAACTACCACCAGCGCCCAGCCACTCAACCAGGCCCAGCCAAGTTGACATACAAACATAACCACCACAGTATGTCATTGTAGTTTTGATTTACATCTCTGTAATGGATAATGTCATTGATCACCTTTTCCTGTGTTTGTTGGTCATTTTAATATCCTTTTCTGTGAAATGTCTGTTCTAGTCCTTTGCCCAATTTTTGATTGGATTGCTTGTCTATTTGTTGTTAAGTTGCAGAGTTTCTATATAGAGAGAGATTTTTAATATTAAACTGTTGTCAGATACAAGGTTCCTGAAATTTTTTTCTAAATAAGTAGGTTGTCTTTTCACTTTTTTTGATAAGTCCTTTAATAAACAAAGTATTTAATTTTTATGAGAGCCCATTTACCTGTTTTGTCTTTTGCTATTTGTGCTTTTGTTGTCGTAACTGATAACCTATTGTAACAATTAGGCTCCATGGCCACACCCCTACATTTTCTTCTAAGAATTTTATGGTTTTAGTTTTTGCATTTAGGTTCTTGATCCATTTTAAATTTGTTTTTGTGGATGGTATAAGACTTGGATCCAGATTCACTGTTCTGCATGGAGAAATCTTGTTTTCTCAGCACCACTTATTAAAGAGATCCTTACCTCCCCTTTGAATGGACTTAGCATCATTGTAGCAAATCAGTTGACCATTGATGTATGAATTTATTTCTGGACTCTCATTTTTATTTCTTTGATCTATATCTCTATTATCATACCAGTACCAGGCTGTTTGAATTACTGCAGCTTTATAATAATATGTTTTAAAATCACAGATGGTGAGTCACCTAGTTTATTTTTCCTTCAAGATTGCTTTAACTATTTGGGGTCCTTGCCCTTCCATGTAAATTTGAGAATTGGCTTTTCTATGTATGTCAAGAAAGTTATTGAAATTTTTATAAAGATTACATTGAATGTATAGATTGCTTTGGGTAGAATTGAAAATTGTATTAAGGTTTCCAATTCACAAATGCAGAATGTCCTTCCATTTATTTGGGTAGTCTTTAATTTCTTGTATTAATGTTTTACAGTTTTCTGTGTATGAGTCTTTAGCTTCCTGGTTAAATTATTTCTTTTATATGTTATTGTAAATAGTAATGTTTCCTTAATTTCCTTTTCCATTTGTTTATTACTGAGTCATAGAAACTTGGCTGATTTTTATGTATTGACTTTGTACCCTGCCACCTTGCTGAATTTATTTATGAGTTCTAAAGGCTTCCTTATGGATTCTGTGGAGTTTTCTATGTGTTAAGATAATGTCATCTGCAAAAACGAATAGTTTTACTTCCTACAAAACTTCTTTTTAAAAGCCAGTATGTTGAATGAAGTATTTCATTGGTACATTAGCTATCATTTAACACTTTTTCTCATGATGTGTGATACTGTGGCCTATTCCAGCTGCTTTCACAGGTGTATATTCTGTTTCTCAAGAATGTTTTCTAATTGATTCATATATAATTTTAGGAAAACAGGTAAATAATTTGGTGGATTCTTCAAATCATGCAGTCGGATTTCATGCACAAAGGTGAGCATAAAAGTAGTTTCTAATCATAAGATTATTTGAATGCTTAGGTTTAAAACGTAAAGGATTCTTTGTATTGGTACAAGTGATTGTTTTTTTTTTGTTTTGTTTTGTTTTTATTAGAACTGAAACTTCTGACAAGAATATGGCAACAGATCTTGGAAGAAAATTGGATGAAATCACGGTTCCCTTCTCAGGAGAGGGTACAATTCCAGCAAGCAAACCATTTGAAAGCCATAGACGGGTGCTCTGTTTCGATAGCACTGCCTCTCTGGTGGCAAATACACAGGGACCAAACCGTAAAACGGTGTCCCAAAACAAAGAAAAGAACGAAATTTCTTCTCTTAATCTTGACTCTCCCATTGTGTCTTCCCCTTTAAAGTCCCCTTCTAATAATATCAAAAAAGAGAGAGAAAAACCTCCTGTGCCTAAGATTTTATCTAAATCAGAAACTGCTGTTAGCCGGCATACCACCATGAGAGAAACTCAGCCAGAAAAGAAATCTTCACCAACAGAAATTGTACTGGAATCTTTCCATAAAGCAACAGCTAATAAGGAGAATGAATTGTGCGGGGATATGGAAAAGCAGAAAAATCCAGAAACTACAAAACTGTCTAATGGGCAGCAAAATGGGAGTTTACGAAATGAGAAAACTGCAGCATCATTGCAAGAACTGACCAAAAACCAAGGCACATCCTCAAACAGTAAAAATGTCATTTCAGGAGGAGCAGCTGTGAAGGATATAAAACAAGAACAAACTAAATCTTCCAGTTATTTGATTAACCCAGTAACCAAACATACAGAAATGTTACCAGATGTTCAGTGGCATAGCCCAGTAAATAGGCTTGGTGACAGTGGTGAGTTACCGGTACCCCGGACACCTGGCTCAGGGCCAGGAGAAAAACATAAAGAAGAACCTGCAGATGGTATCAAGGTCCCCTCTAGTAGGCGTTTCAGTGAAGACAGTGGCACACCCAAAGTAATGGTCCCTCCTGTCACCCCAGACTTGCCTGCTTGTAGCCCTGCCAGTGAAACAGGAAGTGAAAATAGTGTGAACATGGCTGCCCATACATTAATGATTCTCTCCAGAGCAGCTATCTCTAGGACTACTTCAGCAACTCCTCTAAAAGATAATACACAGCAATTTAGATCTTCAAGGAGCACCACAAAAAAGCGAAAAATTGAAGAGTTGGATGAGCGTGAGCGGAACTCCCGTACTAGTAATAAAAATCTTGGAAATCCATCAATACCAATGAAAAAGAAGAAGATTAAGGCAAGTTTGGAAGTTTTTATTTTGGGATGCCACCTTTGCTATTGCATTAATAATTAGGTTAGTGAGCTTAGCATTTTTTTTTTTTTTTTTTCCACAACTGTCTTAACTGTAAATGTTGTAGTCAAGATTGCTTTGAGTTTCTGTTAACGAGATACATTCTGTAGCAGTGTTTCTCAGCCAAGTGTGGTCCTCAGAAATTGTCTGGAAGAAATGGCAGTTTCAAAACAGTTGTTAAGGCATTTATTTGTGGATGTTTTTCTTGGTATCTTAGTTATCTAGTGCTGCTGCAATAGAAATATCACAAGTAGGTGGCTTTAACAAATTTACTTTCTCACAATTGAGAGGCGTACAAGTCCAATTCAGGGTGCTGGCTCTAGGGGGAAGGCTTTCTTACTCTGTCCGCTCTGGAGAAAAATCCTTGTTTCTTTTTAGCTTCTTTTGCTACATTCTTGGGGAATCATGAGGCATGTATCTTCCTCTTTCTTTGTGCTTGCTTGCTTCATCTGCTCTTTCATAAGTACATGAAGAGATTGATTTAAGATACACACTATACTGACTACCTCATTAATAAAGAAAAGCCCATTCCCAACTAGAACTATAATCACAGTTATTGGGGTTGGGATTTACAACACATTTTGGAGGGGACACAGTTTATCCATAACATTTGGGAAAAGCAGCCTTTATAGTTTTGTTATGGTAGGATCCAAGGTGGGATTTTTTCTTTTCTTTTTTTACAAAAATGGCACAGGGCATGAAAGATTGGGAAACCACTGTTGTGTTGAATTGTCAGGTAAAAATGACAAACTTGATGTATCATTGGTGTATACTCAATTAACTTTGGATGTATTTCTACTTCTCTGCATAATTAAAATTTTAATGGCCTGAAAATTTTGGCAATTTAGTAGTATATAGGAGAATTTAAAGGATAAAAAAGGGTAAAAAAAAATAAAAGCATTTAAAATCTAGTAAAATAACAGAATGGTCTGCTCTTTCCATTGTGTATCACAGCACATAAACACACCCACCCTCTGTTCTAAGACTTTCTATATAAAAGATAAAAAAGGAAAAAAAAGAAATTTTAGGTAGAGGGTTCTAAGTGACTTAAATTAGAAAGCTTTTAGGCATTGTTTAAGTTCAATATATTAACTTTCCCTCCCCCCCCTCTTTTTCACAGAAAAAGAAACTACCCAGTTCATTTCCAGCTGGAATGGATGTGGACAAATTTTTGTTATCATTACATTATGATGAATAAGTATTCTGAACATACATGAACAGTAGCTGTTGAAAACTGGTCTCCATGAAACTATGAGTGTAGGGAATGGGATATTGACAGAATCTGAAAGCATGACCTACGCTTTCATTGTACTGAAATTTCAATTTATGTCTAAATCATGCTGTTTCTGAAGCAGCTACCTAGTTTGTAAATAAACTTACCTGGAATATTTCTATTTTGGAGAAAGAAAAAAAAAAACATTTGCAGAATTATAAGTAAAGCCAATCTGCAAAACTGTATAGCTTTGAAATTGCATATTTGTAAATATTGTGAAAATTTGTTGAAATAGAGGTTAAATCAACCTAATGTTCTTACACTGTGTTTTCTTGACTTATTATATGACCCCCAATTCTGAGGCTTATTCATCTGGAATAGTTTCTCACTTTTCTTTTGGGGAAATTAATGCTTTTCTTTATAATTTGCCTTCAGTAGTTATCCAACAAGACATTTAAAAATATAGCCACTGAATAGTACAAAAGTGATAACCACCTCAACTGGTAGTAAAGTACCTAATCAGAGCGTAGCAGTTTGGTGATTTTGTTTTAGAATGAGTGCTTTACCACCCCTTCTTTATAACTGCAGCAAAGAGTATATTCTTGGAAATTTTACTTTTTAACTCTTTTCTTCTGATTGTTCTGGTCTCTTTGTTTTAAAGAGAGAATTTTATAAGCCATTTATTGAGTGTTTTAAGCTTTTGTTTATAATTTCTAAGATCTTTTGCAGAACTTTTAACTGTTAGACGGTTGAGCCATAAAAAGTTTTGTTGTATAGTGGTTGAGGTTTCTTAGTAAATATATACTTTTCTCCTAAATACTGGGGATTTAAAGAATTGCACTAATTCTTAGAACTCTTTACAAAATAGTGACCAATGCACATTAATTTAAATCTTGTATTCTATGTTAAAGTTTGTGTAAAGGATTATCTCCTGATTTTCTGTTAGAAAGCCATGGCCATCCTAAGATATAAAAAGGCAAATCATAGTTTTATATTTTATTTTGTTTCTCCTAGAATTAGCTGTGTTAAATAATTACATCTGTACTTAGATATAGTACATTGTCTCTGTATTCCAAAAAGTGTTAGAAAGAGTTAACTCTCAAAATGTCCTTGAGGGGAATGAAAGAGGTGCCTTCTCAGACTCACACACATCAGTCAAGTTAAATTGGTTTAAACATTTAAATGAAAACAAAAATTATAATTAGTACCCAACCAATTGTGCCTGGATATTAAAGTATGTTCTTTTAAGTGCTTTCTGTTTGATTAAATATTAGTATATTAGTTGTGTGTGTCCACCCCCCACAGTGTACATATTGTGAAAGAGTCAACTTCCTCAACCTTTTTTTTTTTTGTACTTAGACTTTAAAAAAATAAATTCACCCTACTATCTCATAACAGTTCTCAATGTGGAAATCACGTTGTCTTAATTGTTGAACTTCACTGCAAAAATTTGTGTTATAAGAAATTTTTATGATGTGGCAGTGGTCTTATTCCTAAGGAACTAAATATCATACAGTTAATGTTTATTTAACTCAACTTGATACTGTGCTACAGTTAGGTTTGAATAAATATTTTCATTAATTTATAAGTTTGAATTTATTTATATTGGCAATCATTCTTTTTTAGAAACAATAAATTCCTTTGTAAGTCAATTCTTACTTACTCTGGAGTTCATAAAGTGCTGCAAATTACAGATTTTTTGCTGACTCAATATTTATTGAATGTGCCTGCTTTGTATGTGCTAAGTATTAAGAATTTATACACAAACTAAAGTCACTTTGTTTGAGATTCTATGAGCCAGGACCTGCACCGTCTAGATGTAGTCCAAAAACAGCTTGTACTTGGAGCCTTCATTTATTTTCCAAAATAATACCATAATCTTCATTTTACCTTAAAAGTCCTTATGTCTTTAGCTTAATTGTACTGTTGTTCCTGATAACCTATCTTAACAGTCAGTTGCTCAGTGACTGCATTTCAAGGTTGAAGTATATCATAAATAAGAATGTGTGACTTAACTACAGTCAAAGATCTAGTCTGTAGTTTGTACATTACTTAGTGGTTAATGAGGCCAGTGTATATATCAAATCTTAGGGATCTTATCATTAAAATGCTTAATTATCTTAGCCCTAGAGATTATTAAAGTCATATAAATACATTGAAATTGTACATGAGATAAAGCTGGATGTCATGAGTCTTAGGGAGACCAACATTGGTACATTGATAAGCAGTTATTTTCTGACACTTAACTACTATGTGTTGTTGTTGTTATTGTTGTTGCTGCTGTTGTTATTGTTGTTGCTGTTGTTGTTATGTGCCTTCGAGTCGGCCACGACTCAGTGATCCCTCCTTGGGTTTCCAAGGAGGTATCACTACAGAAGTAGATTGCCCAACCTTCCTCCCGAGGAGTGGCCGGTGGGTTTGAACCGCCAGCCTTCTGGTTAGCAGTCAAGTGCCTTAGGCACTATATAACTACTATATATACTATACTAATTTCTCACAGCACCATCCTTCAGATTCAAGCCCAACTTCTCAAAATTGCATTTGAAGTTTTGACTTTTTTACACTCCTTTTTTTTTTATTGCGATTTGAGTGAAGATTTACAGAGCAAATTCACTTTCCATACAGCAGTTCACATATACTTTGTCTCATGTCATTGACCACAGTTTATCACAATGCAACAGCTCCCCTCCCACTTCCTCCCCATAGTTACCTCTTCCCAGTGACCATCCCTCCATACTCTCCTGCGCCCTGAGCTGTCTCCCCGTGCATAAGAAGCCCTTCCTTCTCCCATGATTGTTCTCTCCAAGGAATGTATCTACTTGAGGTAAATGTTCAACTCATATGCCTGTATTTTGTTTGGCTGGAAACCACAGGTGTGGGTTCAATTCCAGACCTGAAGGGCAGTTAGGGGCCATAGTCTCAGTGGTTCCACCAGGCTCTATCGGACCAGGAAACCTGGTCCCCACCTTTTTTTTTTTTTCCCTCCAAATGATTTTGAGGTTTGTTCCACATTGTTCTCCCTCTCTATCAAGGATCTCCTACATAGATCCCCTTCCAAGTGGATGACAGTGGTAGCCGGGCACTATCTAGTTCTTCTGGTCTCATAGTCGTATAGGCTGCAGATTGGATGGTGTACCAGTCTCTAGGACTAATTGTTTCCATGAATTTTGGTTTTCTTCATTCTTCTTTGCTCTGGATGAGAGACCCATAGTTGCATCTAGATGGCAGCTTGCTAGCTTTTAAGATCCCAGTTGCTACTCGCCAAAGTAGGTACACTCCCTTTTTTAATGGACTCTTTTTCTAATTGTAAAAAAAATTACAAATGTGCATTATCATTTTGGCATGTATTTTAATCGTCTTTGTTTCCCTACGGTTTTTGTTGTTGTTGTTTCTTTTTACCTTTCATAGTTGAACTCATACTGTAAATATAACTTTCTAATTCTTTTTTCACTTCAAATAGTATCAAGCATTTTTTTTCATTCTTTAACAGTTACCAAAAAAAAAAAGAAAGGAAAAGCAGCAGTGAACAGCTTTGTTTATATTACCAATTATTTCCTTAGGAACTATTTTGGAGAGTGAAATTACCAAATTAAAAGGTTAGTGTATATTTTATCATTGTATATTCCTTCCAACAAATTTTCTTCCATTGCATATGCTTATGAATGAAATCTCTTCTGTCAGAGGTATATTCAGCTGTATCATCACTTGTTTCTGGGTTTTTATTTCTTTGTTACCATTAGGAGAGTTAGTTCCTAATCCATGTATAATTTGTTTAGATACCAATAAGGATCAAAGTACAGTTTTTCCTCCTAAATATTGAACCACTTGTTTCAGCGCAGTTTGTTAAAATAATCCTTCCCACCCTCATCATTGGAGGAGTCAGCCTCAGGGCTCCAGGTGAGGAGAGGGAATCCAAGCCACGCCCACAAGTGGCAAAGCGGGAAAGTGGGAGAAAGGAGAGTAAAAAGGCTAGGGGGACAGAGACAGAGCAAGGAGTCAACTGCAGGGATGCAGGTGAGGAGAGGGAACCCAGGCAACACCCCAAAGCGGCAAGGCAGAAAAGCGGGAGAAAGAGTGAAAAGGCTAGGGGAACCGGGACAGAGTGAAGAGTCAGCCTCAGGGATCCAATTGAAGGGAGGGAGCCCAGGCCACGTTCCATAAGTGGCAAGGTAGAAAAGCGGGAGAAAGAGTAAAAGGCGAGGGGGACAGGAACAGCGCGAGGAGTCAGCCGCAGGGATCCAGGTAAGGAGAGGTTGGAGGTTTCCAACAGCTAAGGGAGACAAATTTGTCAGTTTCTTCTACTGTGGTGACGTGATGCTGTGAGTCTTGAGGCTGTGCCACTGGTGTTTCAAACCCAGACTTGCAGACTGAGACAGACTAGGAAGAAGGAAGAGGCCATCCACTTCTAAAAGAACTGGCCAGTGAAAACCTTATGAATAGCAGAGAAACACTGTCTAATACATTACTGTGCAACTTTATGAATAGTCCAGAAATATTGTCCAGTACACAGGAGGAGGATGAGTCAGGTTACAAGGCTCTCACAATAGGACTGGGAAAGAGCGGCATCATCAGAGCAAAACCAGCCTTACACATATGGGTAAGGTAAAACTTTCAAGACCTCCATTTGCTGACATGGCACCACTCAAATTGAGGAGAAACAGTTGCAAACATCCATTAATAATCGGAACATGGAATGTACGAAGTATGAATCTAGGAAAATTGGAAGTCGTCAAAAAATGAAATGGAATGCATAAAGATTGATATCCTAGGCATTTGTGAGCTGAAATGGACTGGTTTTGGCCATTTTGAATCAGACAACCATATGATCTACTATGCTGGGAATGACAGTATGAAGAGGAATGATGTGGCATTCATCATCACAAAGGATGTTTCAATAGCTGCCCTGAAATACAATGGTGTCAGTAACAGGATAATACCCATACGCCTACAAGGAAGACCCATTAATACAACTATTATTCAAATTT